TGAAGTCTCTCAGCCACACTCACCTCCAGAGTGTTTGTTGTGGGAGAGGAAGGAAAAGGAGATTGTTAGCTGCTTTGAGACTCCTTAAGGGGAGTGAAAGGCGGAATATCAAGTCCAAACTCCTCCTCCTCCTCCTCCTCCTCCTCCTCCTCTTCTTCTTCTTCTTCTTGCAGATTGCAATGCAATAAACTGCGTTCCATACATTCAATATCCTGCGAGCATGGGCACAGCCTATCTTGGTATGGGACATCCGCCAGTCTTCCCCTTTTCAGAAGGGAAAACATTTATTCTGACTTTAGCTTGTGGCTAATAGTTTTCAGGGTGTGTATATGCGTGTGTGATTTGGATTAGGTCCATGGTGCAAAAGCTGAGGGCTAGAAACCCCTCCCTCTGTGTCATGGCCCCAACCAAATCAGGCCCCTCCATAGTTGTTTCTGAGCAAGAAAAAGGGGCTTGGGGCTCCAGACACACAACCCGACATTATGATTACCTTGATCCTTAAACCTATCAATTTCTATAGGTTTAAGTATGCATAATATTGTCTGGGACTGTCCCTTCAGTATATGTAACAGAATCCCTGTAGAATACTTTCAGCTGTGACTACTTGAAGGCATATTATCAATACTGTCATATGAACTTAGCGTGTCATGTTTCCTCCCAGTTTAGCAGATATGACCAGGAAGCGCGCATATATATATGCTATCAAGTTACTGATTAAATTGCTAGTCCCTGCCCTGGTATTCAAAATACCAGGCTTTGCCTAGTCTTGTCTAGTGCAGGTCTGAGAAACCGCTTTCTCTCTCTCTCTTTTGTATATAATTTTTATTGAGTTTTCTGTTTTACCATTTTAAATACTCATTTTACATCCTTAAGATATCAATGACTTCCCTTCTTCTCTTTCCATGGTTCATTTTGCGTATCATAAATCCCGGCACATTTTACATAAACTAAACCATTAATACATCCATCAAAACTTGTTTACACTGTTGAATTCATCTTAATGCTGCCAGGGTTTTCAGGAGTATACAATTTCCCCCCATATATTCAATAAACATTTTCCAATCTTCTTTAAACATACATTCTTCTTGTTTTCTTATTCTGTATGTTAAGTCCGCAAGCTGCGCATATTCCATCAATTTAAGTTGCCATTCTTCTTTAGTTGGGACCTCGCTCGTTTTCCATTTTTGGGCTAGCAAAACACTGCAGCGGAAGCATTCTTTATGCAATATCTTGTTTCCATGATAAGAGTAAATTATTTGCTCCTCTTCCTTAAATTTAGTCGTGGCCTTCGGACGCGTTGCAGGCTGTTGCTACTCGCTCCCTAGAAGATATCGAAATGTCAGAGGAAACCCGAGATGGTTGCATCGATATGTGTCAAAAATTTCATACTACTACCATTAATTTGTCTGAATCATTCTTTAACGAACTCCAGAGACACAACTATGTAACACCTACTTCATACCTGGAGTTGATTTCCACATTCAAATCTCTGTTGGAAAAGAATAGGGCGTAAGTATTATTAATATAAAATTTTGTTATGAGAAATAGCCTTGCATTCCCCGCTCCCAGCCCCTGCCTGCACTTCAAGCCCCTTATAACAGACTGAGTATAGCATGCACAAAACGGTGGTTGTTCTCATTATTCCCTACTTGGACATATAACGTATAGCGTCTCCACCCCCATCGTTCAGCCCAGACACTGAGGTCCAGTGCTGAGGGCCTTCTGGCGGTTCCCTCACTGCGAGAAGCGAAGTTACAGGGAACCAGGCAGAGGGCCTTCTCGGTAGTGGCGCCTGCCCTGTGGAACGCCTCCCATCAGATGTCAAGGAAATAAACAACTATCTGACTTTTAGAAGACATCTGGATGCAGCCCTGTTTAGGGAAGTTTTAAATGTTTGATGTTTTATCTTGTTTTTTAAAATTCTGTTGGGAGCCACCCAGAGTGGCTGGGGAAACAGAGCCAGATGGGCAGGGTATAAATAATAAATTTCTTATTATTATCATAATTATTATTATTGGCATGTAGGGTGTTAGACCAGGTGTGCAATTTTTCTCGCTTGGTCACCCTTCATGAGTAAGGATTTCCTGTAGATGACCAGGCAAAGAAGCTTTTGTAATTAATAAACAAACAAACCTAAGAGTTTTGACCCTTTTCTTTCTTCTCTTAAGGCAGGCATAGGCAAACTCAGCCCTCCAGATGTTTTGGGACTACAACTCCCATCATCTCTAGCTAACAGGACCAGTGCTCAGGGATGATGGGAATTGTAGTCTCAAAACATCTGGAGGGCCGAGTTTGCATATGCCTGTCTTAAGGTGTTAATGCTTCCCAAATGACGAACATAGTCCTGTATTGATAGCAGGCTAATAAAAATATTGGGACGCGGGTGGCGCTCTGGGTTAAACCACAGAGCTTAGGACTTGCTGAACAGAAGGTCGTGGTTCGAATCCCTGCGATGGGGTGAGCGCCTGTTGCTTGGTCCCTGCTCCTGCCAACCTAGCAGTTCGAAAGCAACGCAGTGCAAGTAGATAAATAGGTACCTCTCCAGCGGGAAGGTAAACGGCGTTTCCGTGCGCTGCTCTGGTTCACCAGAAGCGGCTTAGTCATGCTGGCCACATGACCCGGAAGCTGTATGCCGGCTCCCTCGG